TTTGTCTAAGCCCCAGAAGGGGCAAGTAACTTGTCTATAATTACCCCATCTGGGGCTTAGACAAAGTATGTAACTTGCCTATAATTACCCCATTAGCAAGTGTCTGTGCTGTGATTATGAACATGGGGCATCTGGCTCCGGCGTCCAGGTGCCCAGCCTCTACCCTGAACTAAGGCAGGCAGAGTTCCCTCTTGGGATTGCACCTTTCCTGCCAGGCTCCTGGTGTGAGTGGGGGTGAGGCCTGCACACAGTGCCCTTGGGCTCTCTCCATGCCTCTTGGTGACTGCTCTTTTTCAGTGTCTCTGGGTCTATCATCCAAGTTTGGGAAGTTCATCTTTGTGAAGTTCATTTTTTATTCATCAGATATTCTCATCATATTGCCACACAGAGTCTGCAGCGTGTTTGTGCTGGGCTGTTCCTTCTGCTGGCCTGTAGCCCACCCAGCTCTTCCTAACCGCTCGTCAGGACCTTGGCTCATGCAGGTGGCATGGGGGAGCCCACAGAAAAGTGTGAATAATGGGATTCCTTCACCCATCGTGAACTAGGGTCTGCTGATTCCCAAAACAAATATTTGGCAGCAGGGGGGAGTTTAAAATTTCATTCATAATTGCCTTTGTCAGTCTGCCAGAAAGTTCAAGATCCAGGTGCCGGCAGATTCAGTGTTTGGTCAATGTCTGCTTACTGGTCTGCAGATGGCCATCTTTTCCTTGTATACTCATGTGACAAATAAGACAGCTCATCTCTTTAGTCTCTCCTTGTAAGGCACTCATCCACTCACAAGGGCTCTACCCCTGACCTCATCACCTCCCAAAGGTCCCTCTTCCAAACACCATTATATTGGGAATTAAATTTCAACATATGAATTTTGGAGGAACATCGACATTCAGCCCATAATAATAATACAAGTTCATTAACAAGCTAAATAACATTTATCTTTTAAGCTAAAGATGGAGAGTTTAAATCACAGCAGTTCACAAAGTTATGGAAACCCACTGCCATCTTCTGTTGTGTTTGTTAATCTACTCCACCATTTAAAAAAGCATTAATTTTATATTTAAAATAATACAAACATGTAATAGAAGCAAAATTCCTCTGAGTTTTAAGGTAAAACCAAAGACATCAAAAAACGTCAGATTTGCAACAGGCTGTTTTAGATTACAATCCAACAAATACCCATTGGTCATCTATGTGCTAGGCGGGATGAGAGCTCCAGTTACAGCCGTGCCTCTCTCTCTCCTGGAGCTGGAAGTCTGGCAAGGAAAGCAGGTATGACAGCAGCACTTCTAAGTATGTTGAGTGTTTACCAAAGAGGACAGTCAAAGACCTATAGGGGATAGAGCAAAGGAAATGGTACCATCAACCAGGGCTCAGGGAAGGTCTCTTGAAGGAAGTGACTTTTAAATGGAGATCTGAGACGTGATTAATGGAGAAATAAGATACATCAAATCTCACAAACAAGAGAGCACCAGGTGTTCCAGGAACTGAGAGAGAGAGGAGAGGCAGTGGTGGGGAAGCAGAACTTCTAGGGGAAGTACCCAGGTAGGAAACTACGGGCTCATTTACAACTGGAGCACAATCTCGCATAACACAGGGCTAGTTAAATATTAATCAATTAATGATCTGACAAATATTACCCTATGGGATAATTTACATTCTAAAAGAGGATGTCAGGCCCAGAAAACCTGAGGGAACCAACTGGAAAACAATAAAAAAGAAGAGAATTCAGAGAAGAGATGAGTTGCTAAGTAACTATTTAAAACCAGTAGCCTTTCCTAAACCACAACTTGTTAGAAATTGCGGTAAAAGGAAAGATCTCATTTAAAATACAGCAACCAAAAAGAATCCTAAAGATCAATATAACAAGTAATTTGCAAGACTTTTATTAAAAGCTCATAAATAATCTATTGGCAGACCTAAAAATGACTTAACAAATGCAAAGAGACACTATGGTCTTTGATGGAAAAATATCAATTTCCTTGTAAGTTAATTTATATATTTAAGGAAATCCCAACTGAAATAGCAACTTTTAACTCAATAAAATAATATTAATGTTTGTTTGTAAAATTAATTATGAAGATTAGTCAAAAAAATTTTTGAAAATGAAAAACAATAAGAACTAGCTGATACTAAAACTATCTTAAAGCTGTAATAATTAAAATAGTTTGGCATTAGGGAAAAATAGATCAATGAATAAGAATGAAGGGTTCATAAATGAAACCAAAATCATGTGAAAACTAAGATATGAAATGGTAACACTTTAAAACAGTGAGGAAAAGGCAATTAATCAGTAAATAGTGCTGGATCAAATGACTGATAGGAAAAAAAAAATAAAGCTGGATCCTTACTTCAGTTATTATAGTAACATCAATTCCAGATGGATCAGACTTAAATGTAGAAAAGGAACTATAATGGTTCTAGGAGAATAAATGGCTGTGTTTAAGCTCTTGGAATAGGGAAGCCTTTCTAGGAAGAACTCAAAACCCAGAGACCATAACGTAATAAAAATTGCGATTTTTTTTTGGAGGGGGTGGGTAAAAATATATCCTCAACTAAGAGAAGAAACAAGTGACAAGTTGGGAAAATATTTATAATGGATATGACAGGAAAAGAGCTAATTGCTTTATTTATTTTCAAAAAGCTTTTGTAAATAAAATAGAAAAACAAACAGTCCAATAGGGGAAAAAAAGAACAAAGCTTATCAGTAGTTAATTACCAAAAAGTGAAAATAAGACATAGTAAGTATGAAAATATGTTCAACATTACTTGTAAGTAAAATAATGAAAACTGAACAGCAGCAACAGACTGTTTCTTAACTCATATGTTAGAACCCACAGTGATAAGGTCTGTTCTGAGAAGGCTATGGATAGGCAAGCACTGTCAGACACTGATGTGGGGCAGGGGTGGTGGACTGGTTCATTTCTGGAAGGAAGCTTGACAAAATCAATCTACTTTTAAAGGTCCATATTATTTTACTAATTGCTATTTGCTAAGAATTTACCTGTATAATTATCCATGCACATGTTGGTAAAGAGATATGTACAGGTGCGTTCCCTGTGGCATTGTTTGTAACAGCAAACAAGGAAAAGTAACCTGTCAGTAAGTGATAGTTACATAGCCTATGGTGCTCCTCCTATCTGATGGATTATTATGTGGCTGTGAAAAAGAATTATGTAGCTTTGTGTATATTGGAAGACAGGGAAAAAAGAGGTAGAGAGCTGTGTATACTGAATCATTCCATTTATGTCAATTTTATAGGAGTGGACAGGCAGACATGCACACTAGTCTATAAATAAGCACATTCTCTAAAAGCAATAAAAAATATTTTACAAGGGCTACTTTTGGGTAGAGGCAAAGAACTGAGGGATGGAAGCCTTTATGTTTCATTTTATACTTTGCTCTACTATTGGAAGTTTTAAAAATACATAGGTCAATTACTTTCATTCATTAAAATATGGACATGGATTACCTGGGTGGTGAGATGATGAAGTTTCTTTTTCTTCTTCTTCTTCTTCTTCTATTATTATTATTTTGAGACAGGGTCCTGATGGAGTGCAGTGGCACAATCTCAGCTCACTGCAATCTCCACCTCCTGGGTTCAAGGAATCCTCCTGCCTCAGCCTCCCAAGTAGCTGGCATTACAGGGATGGGCCACCATACCCAGCTAATTTTTGTATTTTTAGTAGAGGCTGGGTTTCACCATGTTGGCCAGGCTGGTCTTGAACTCCTGACTTCAAGTGATCCATCCACCTCAGTCTCCCAAAGTGCTGGGATTACAGGTGTGAGCCACCACACCCAGTCATTATTTTTTATTTTTATTTAATTTAATTAATTTATTTTGAAACAGGCTAGGGCCCACTCTGTCACCCAGGCTGGAGTGCAGTGGCACTATCATGGCTCACTGTAGCCTCGACTTCCCAGGCTCAAGGGATCCTCCCACCTCAGCCTCCAGAATAGCTGGAACTGCAGGTGCAAACCACCACATCTGGCTAATTTTTTGTATTTTTTTTTTTTTTTTAGAGTAGGAGTTTTACCATGTTGCCTAGTCTGGTCTCAAACTTCCGAGCTCAAGTGATCCACCTGCCTCAGCCTCCCAAAGTGCTGGGATTATAGGTGTGAGCCATTGCACCCAGCCTTTTTCTTATTTAAATGTCTGTAGTTATTAAAAAAAAAAAAAAAAAAAAAGTGGTAGAGCTGGGTGTGGTTGCCCACACCTCGTAGTTCCAGCTACTGAGGAGGCTAAGGCTTGAGGCCAGGAGTTTGAGACTGTAGTACATGCCTACAAATAACCCAGCCTGGGCAACATGGCAAGATCCTGCTTCTAGAGAAAAAAAAAAAAGTGTGAAATAGGCAGCAATACAGAAAAAGATACCAGGTAAGGTTTTGACCGAAAAGAATAAAGTTCAAATGGTGGCCTGTCCAACACTGCTAGGGTCCCAGGAAGAGATATTTCTAAAGCAGGAGACTTTCCAGCATGTCACAGATTCCCCCACTTGCCTCCAATAATAATGGTTCTCCCATACGTAGCCATCAGAGAGCTTGGCTTCAGCATCAAGAGAGTTAAAATAAATGAAAGGAAATAAGGCTTAAAAAAGAATGTCATTATGATTTGTGCAAGCATTTCCTCTCTATAGATAAAATGGAGTGAGATGGCAAAAACAGATATAGGCTCACCTCATGCTTTTCTTCCCCTCTGTGTAGTTGGGCAGACTGAGATGGCTCATATCCCTCCTACCTTCTTATGAATGCTGCTTGCCCCAGGGGCCTAAGCATGCAGTAGCCTTCAGCTGTCTGACTCCAGGACCTGCAGGACCTCAGGAATGGGTCCTATGATCCTGGGACTTCTCCCCTCTGCCACCCATCTCCTAAGCTCTTCCTCTCCCAGGACCTTCTTGGGAAAGCAGTTCTTCCCAGTCAATCCCTACTGGTCATTCTTTGAGACCAGCTTAGCGTCAGGTGGGGTGTGAGAGATGCTAAAACCCAGTTTCTATACTTACAGAACTGCTGGATGCTTCTGAAGAGTCTCAGAAAACATTAGGCAGCCATGTGAAAGTAAAGAAACAAAGAATTTCAGCCAAGTAAGATGAAGCAGGTGCTGTTGGTTGGCTGATCCAATCTCCAACTCATCTCTTCTTTATCCATACAGCAAGAGGTATACCCACAACACCACTTGGGCAAAGAAATATAAGCAGAAGACTCTGGTGAAGCTCCTAGAAAAGATCTGTAAAAAGGACAAATCCAATTGGCAAGTTCCTTTGGCCTTTTGCCCCTTCCCCCTTTTTCTTCTTTTGAGAATGTGGCCATGAGGCTGCTGGTGGAGTCACCATCTTACAACCAGTGGCAACATGCATGAGGGTGCAAGTAACATGCTAAGGAGGGCACCATGGAACGGAACAAACCTGTCTCCCCTGACATCCCTTGGCCACTACAGCAGGCCTGGTTACATATGTCTACATGTTTCATTATGTGAGAAAAATAAGCTTCCTGTTTGTTTAAAGTGCTCTTAATTGGATGTTCTGCTATTTGCAGCCAAATCCACTATTAACTGATTAACATGGTGTTAAGAGGAAGTAGCTCTGATGTAATAGAAGCACATGGGCTTTGGAATGGAGGGATTTGGCTTCAAATTCTAGTACTGTGACTTATATACCAGGGTAAGTTATTACTTAACTTTTCTGGGTCCCTGTCTCCATAAGTAAAAAATAGGGCTCATAAAGCTACTCAAACAGATGTTTGAGGTCTCCATAGAAAGGGGAAGTGAAAGTAACTGTATATAATAAGTCTCAGCTCAATAAATATCTGATGCATCTTTGTTGAGAATGTGGAAGGACATTGAGGAAGTGAGGCTTAACTGGAATACAAATAAAGCAAGAGGAAGCAGAATGTAATTCAGAAGAAGTAGAGTATGAAAAACATTGAGAAATTTCAACAAAAAGGTGCAGTAGGCAAATCATCTTGTCTCTGAAATCTAGTCTCCCACAGAAACCTCAGGCTGAATGAAATTGTGGCCCAGAGGAATCAGAGAAGAAGGTATCCCTTAGCCCATGGCTGCAAACCCTCCAGAGAATTCCCAACACCAAAAAGGAAAGAAATATCCTCATTAACATTTCCCTTCTCTTCTTCCTTCTTTTTCTGCTTTTCCTCCCTCTCTTCCTTCTTTCCTAGATCAAAACTATTTCAAAACCATGGAAGGCAGACACAGTTTGTTCTGACTCACAGTGGATAGATGATAGGGCCTGGATTTTCAACCTTCTAATCTATTTTAGCCACAAAGAAATTTTCTGCATTCTCCTATTCCCTCCCAAAAAGAAAAGGCATCACGGTGTAGCCCCGGATGTCAAATAGAGAGTCAGGAGCCCTCAGTCCTGCTCTGTGTGTGTTCTTGGATGGTCTCCTAACCTCTGAATGTCAATTTTCTTTTCTTTCTTTTTTTTTTTTTTTTGAAATGGAGTCTCACACTGTTGCCTGGGCTGGAGTGCAATGGCACAATCTTGGCTCACTGTAATCTCTGCCCCCCTGGTTCAAGCAATTCCCATGCCTCACCCTCCCAAGTGGCTGAGATTACAAGCGCACACCACCACACCCGGCTAATTTTTTGTAGTTTTAGTAGAGACGGAGTTTCACTATGTTGGCCAAACTGGTCTCGAAATTCTGACTTCCGGATCCACCCGCCTTGCCCTACCAAAGTGCTGGAATTACAAGCAAGAGCCACCATGCCCAGCCTCAATTTTCTCATCTATAAATTGAGAGTGTGTGGAAGTGGGTGGGCAATAGAGGAGGAATTACCTAGGTAAGTTCTCAAGTTACTTCTCTTCTATTTATTAGCATCTTGCAGTCCCTGGGATGATAAGAGAAGGTTCAATTTCTTTCATCCTATAAATGGTTGTGGAGTGTCAACCCTGTACCAGTAACTGGTTTAACCATGGGAAATACTACTATGAATGAAATAGAGAGCATCCTATATCTTAATGAAGGAGACAGACAATAAAGGCGCAAACAAAGAAACTGGAGAATTTCAGAGGAGCAGTGAAGAAGAAAATACAACTCAGTGATGGAATAGAGTGACTGGGGATGAGGGAGCTACTTGAAAAGAGATGAGTCAGGAAATCCCCCATGAGATGTAAACTTTGTGCTTAGCTGAAATGAGATGCCAGCCATCCCCCTCTCTCTGCAGGACTGTGGCCTGATCTTTGACTGGGTACTCAGAATTATTTTCAGTGCAAACTTGTTTCCTTGAGTCTCTTGGTTCCTGAACAATATCCCAAGTCTATGATCATAATGGGCTCACACTGTGGGTTTTCATGGCCCATTGGAATATTCAAAGTGGGTACAGTTAATCCCAGCAGTGGCCAAAGGGAGCTATGCGAGCCAGTCCAGGAAGACAGGCAGAATATAATGTACTTCTGTTTAATCTACCTTTTAATCTCATCTTTTTGGCTTTTTAAAGTGGGAACAGGGTATTCTTTACAATGAATATGATCTATTGCTGGCATAACAATAATAGTATATACATAACAGTGCTTACTAGTACTTAGACATTGCTCACGTATATGAACTTAATTTTCATGACAACTTTATGAGGTACATACTGATATTTTGCCCATTTTATAGATGAAGGAACAGAAGCACAGCCAAGTAAGTGATTTGCCCAACCTGTGAGATGCAGAGCTGGGATCTGGAGCTAGGTAGTCTCCTACCCTAGTCACTTCTTTTAGCCAAATATGCTGTGCACCTTTCATGTATGAAACGTGTTTGTTTTAAAAGCGTATGTGTGGTTTACTGGAGATTCAAGTTCAAATTTTTTAGAAATCTTTTGTCAAAAATGTTGGTAACTGTAACAGTGTCTACAAAGTCAGACAGAAGTTGGTTTCAGTCCCTACTAAAGAAAAATATTATTCATGACACTTGTTAAAGACAGTAAGGCAGACTTTATTCAAGGTGGACTACTACAATGAGGATTTGCCGGGGGAGAGAGATTGGGCTCAACTCTGAATACAACAAGGAAATGTGAAGGTTTACAGCCAAGGGGCAGGGTAGGGTCAGCGGATGGAAAATCGCTAACAGTAAACATTTTAAAAGGGTAAACAAGGTGTAAGGCAGATTGTGGCTAAACTGACTTGACAAGCTTCTTGCTGAAGGAAGGCCAGGGTGAAAAAATATCAACAGGTGGGGATGAGGAATTTCATCCTATCTCAAGGGTGGGGAATATTTGCTAAACTGACCCAACAGGATTCCTACTAAAACTGGACTAAATGGGCCAAAGACAAAGCCTTCAGGGTGAGGCCTCATCAAAAAGATGACTCAGAGGAGCCTGATTAAAGTTCGGTTAGGGAGTCTTTGTTACCCCCAACATTGTTGCTTCCTAGCTGTGTAAACTTGAGTGAGTTACCTCTACTCTCTGAGCTGCAGATTTCTCATTTTGAAAGCAGATATTATACTATCTCCCCTATACAATATTGTAAGGATTAAATGAGATAAAGCTCAATAACTATAAGTTGAATGTCCTTAATCAAAAAATCTAAAAATCTAAAATACTCCAAACTCCAAAACCTTTTGAAAACTGATACGATGCTCAAAGGAAATGCTCATTAAAGTATTTCAGATTTAGAATTTTTTGGAATTGGGATGCAGAATCAGAGAGCATATGTGATGTAAATATTCCAAAATCTGAAACATTTCAGGTCCCAAGCACTTCAGATATGGGATAGTCAACCAGATATAGATAGTCAACTAGATTAGCACAGGGCCTGGTCTAGTAAGCGTTATCAATATCACTGTAACGTGAAAGCTCTTGCCAGGGAATCAAGTCATTCTTGATGAAACCAAGCTCTTGAAACTCTTAAATGCCGCTGGTAAGAGTACAACTTGACATAGCATTTTACTGTTGTGCAGTTTTGTGGTATCTATCAAAATATAAAACATGGCATTGAGTCTCTGGACTCAACAATTTATTTCTGGAAATGTATCTAAGGAAATAATAGCACAAGGGCACAAAGCCATAAGCCTGAGGATATCCAGGGCATCATTATTTAACATGAAAAACTTGGAAGGTAACCTAAATGTCCAGCAGTAGGAGACTGGTTAAATACATGAGGATATTCATAAAATACATTCAATGAGAATTCAGTACAACAAAATATATTAAGTGCAAAAAGAAGGTCACAAAATATTAGGTTAGTGCAAAAGTAAAAGTAATTGTGGTTCTTGCCATTAAAAGTAATTACTACAATTACTTTTGCATCAGCTTAATAATACGAATATTATGTTCCCATTTTGTAAAAACAGAATAAACAATAAACGTAATTAATACAAAATGTCTGTGTTTTATATGTGGGCATATGTACATAAAGAAAAAGTTCCACAGTATAAACACCAAAATGTTACCAGTACAGATAGTCCCTCACTTACAATGATTTGATACAGGATTGTTTTACTTTCTGATACTGTGAAAGTGATATACATTCAGTAGAAATCATATTTCAAGTACCCATATAACTATTCTGTTTTTCACTTTCAGTCAGTATTCAATACATGACATAGAATATTCACCAATTTATTATGAAATAGGCTTTGTGTTTGATGATTTTGCCCAACTATAGCCTAAGGTGAGTGTTCTGAGGATGTTTAAGGTAGGCCAGGCTAAGCTATGCTGTTTGGCAGGTTAGGTGTGTGTTTCAGCTCATTTTGTGTTGCTGTAACAAAATAACTGAGGCTGGGTAATTTTATTTATAATGCGGCTTATGGCTGGGTGTAGTGGCTCATGCCTGTAATCTCAGCACTTTGGGAGGCTGAGGTGGGCTCGATGACCTGAGGTCAGGAGTTCAGACCAGCCTGGCCAACATGGTGAAACCCGATCTCTACTAAAAATACAAAAATTAGCTGGGTGTGGTGGCAGGCACCTACTCTCTACTTGAGAGGCTGAGGTATGAGAATCGCTTGAACCCAGGAGGCAGAGGTTACAGTAAGCTGAGATCGTGCCACTGCACTCCAGCCTGGGCACAAGAGCAAAACTCCATCTCAAAACAAATAAAAATAAACAAAATAAAAAGAGGCTTATTTGGTTCACAATTTTGGTGGCTGGAAGGTTCAAGACTAGGGCAGCTGCATCTGGTGAGGATCTCAGATGCCCTCAGGTGGTGAGGGCACCACCATGACCGGCTAATTTTTGTATTTTTAGTGGAGATGGGGTTTCACCATGTTGGTCAGGCTGGTCTTGAACTC